AATACCTAAAAACACCAAACCCCGAAAAAAAACGACACAAAACCACCCCGGAAAGTGAACCCGCAGGGTTGTTTCAAAGTTGCAACTCAGCGGCTCGAGGTGGGCATGCCCTCGATAGAAGGGGTACCAGATCCCCAGCTGGTGCCACCTGGCGAATCCGAACCCGTCGGCCCGTCGGCCCATGGCTTCTCTCGTTCTGTTGTGGGCCTCCGGAAGAGCTCGGGCTCGGGATCCTCGGAAAGCACGCAGAGGCAGATTCCCAACATGGCCTTTCTTGCTTGGGTTCCCAACGAAGAAGAATCCGGGGACATCAGCTCCGACGAAAGAAGCCCCACATAGGCAAAGGGACCTGTTGGGCTGCGACATGCTACAGCGAAAGCGGACAGCAGACACCAACAGAGGTTGCCACACGAGCATCGGAACAGAGATAGCCAAGTGCTCCCACCTTGGCTAGCAACGAACCGCCACGACCGCACCGTGGTGTGCCTCTTGTACTGCTACGGATACGGTACGGCTAAGATCGTCGCTTGGCCATGTTGTCGCCGGTCCATATGGCCCCATGCTTGTGGGACCCCGCGAAAAACGAGCGTGTCAGAACAAACGGCCGGACCTCGGGCCATGAAATCCTTGACACCAGTCTATACTGCGATCCAGGGAGACAAGACTCTTTGAGTGCTGCGGCTACCCCCGAGGTCCTCGCGTTTGGTGCACGCACCAGCTGTCCCTCGACTGTTGCCTGCTCTCAGAAGGTGGTAGCACAGCGAGTGCATCCAAATTCCTTGACAGCCACGGGCCATGTGATGATAGAAGCCATACACCTAGGCTGCAGGACCCCGGTGACTGCAATGCTGCTGACACCACGGAATGGGTACCTTGGCCTCATGATGTCTCAGGTTCGTGCATTGTGAACATCGCGGTGTTCCACCTTCGCTGCAGGAGCGGCATGCTTACTGGATCCAGCCTCCAACCGCCTGAAAGTGCGCATCGGAATCAAGGCCTCGTAATCCTTCTCGCTGCACTTGTGCAAGTTGTCGCGTGGCCTGAAGTCAATCTCCGTTGAGTGTGCAGTGCTGCAGACAGAGTTCCGAGTCCGTGGCATTGTAACCTCTGGGCCATTAAAGACACTCGGCCTTGAAAGAACCAGCTGCGGCTTTGCCTGGTCTCTCGCACCCAATGCATCACGAGCCGTGGACTCGTTCATATCGTTCCAGGTGTACAGGTCTGGCCTTTGGCTCATGACACTTGGGATAACTCTGTGGTACAAGCTCGAACGGCGCCTGTTGTGTGGGTAGTAGTCCATCTTGAAGAACGTCGTCCAGAGTCTGCGCGCCTAAGGCAGAAGACAACTGGGTTAAGATGCGAAGCAAAGCATCTCGCTGTACAGCCTCGGGATTGCAGAAGTCGGGATAGGAAGAAGTTCCTGGCCAACACCAGCCTGCGGCCCACAGCCGACATCACAAAAACATGTGCCGGCGTGCGCAGCAAGCATCCACGCCGTCGTAAAGCTGTTTGTCTTTCGTCTTGGTGAAGAAATCGTGGTTCTTGCAGCAGCCAGGCGGTGTGGCTCCAGACAAGGTCTGTGGTACGGACATCTACATACGTACACACATGTTGAATTCGACTGCAGAGCACATGTCTATGCCTTTGGTCGGGGCTGATCCGGTCGCTCCTAATCATACCCGTTACAAGGCAGGAGTCCTTCATCTTGTTGTAGACGTCGTACCTTTGAATGAAGATCGTCGCAAGCTCGCGAAACTGTGCAAACAAGTTCGACACCCGACGTGCATTCCAAAATGGTACGACGGACAAACTCTTCTTTTCGAGTGGTATGAAACGCATCGCACCGGGTCCACCGCATTCGCCAAACAAGGGCTGCCTCACACTGCCAAGTTCACGGTTCATCGCCTTCGCCACAAATCCCAGACGTCGCGCCATCTCCTAAGTCACCTCGGGAGATAGCGTCGGAGACGTTGGCTTTGGACGGTACCCGACGAAAGTCGGGGAGCCAGTCGGGCAACGCCGCGGTGGCCCAAAAAGCCCGCCGCCAGGATGCCGTTGACCGCTGGGTCCTCCCCGCAGCCCTTCGTGTAAGGGCCCACTCTCTGTGGCTGCCCACTGGCCGGCGACGCTTCGATGATGACCAGACCGCCGCTGCTGCTGCCGTGGCGTTGTGAGTGGGCTCCGGCACAAAATTCACCGGTGTAACGGGACCCTCACTGTGACCGTACAGCCGGCCGCCTTGAGGTCCTGGGTACCACGAATTCTTTTGCTGAGCATGAACCAGGCCAGCAAGAAGGTGTCGGCGGCCGGCGCAACCATGTTTGGATCCCGCCGGGTCCGGGGTGACTAGAAGCGGCGCCAGCCGATCGACTGGGAACATCATCGCCTTGAGGGAAGCCCCCGGAGGGCTCGCCACGGAAGCGTTCCTGATAGGTGACCGCCGAGTCGAAGTAGTTCTGTATCGACGGGAAGGACTCCGCAACCTTGCGGACGGCGATTCTTCTGGGGCTTGACGGCGGGGCTCTGACAGGCGCCCCGCCGGCCGCCTTGGCCTTGGCGTCGGCCCACGCCGCTTCCGCACCTCCCATGGCCATCGCCACCGTCCGACGCTGGAGGTTCGACCAATGCGCAAAGTGAGGGGCAAGGTTGATGCCGGCATCGACTGCATCATCCAGGATCGCGACGGCCGCCGCGATCTCCGACGCAGTGTACGACGGCATGGCGTCGAAAGGGAGTGCTAAGTGAAGCTGAAAAACGTCGGGCGACACAAAGCCTGCAGTAGCTGCGGCGTATGCGTCGTTCGAGGAACTTGTATCTGCACACATTACATGTGTTACGCGGCAATCTAACAGCATGAGACTGGGCCTAGAGAAGCTACAGCATAACGTAAGCTATTCGCCCGCTGTCTTTCTTGATGTGAGGGTCGATGATGGTGACCAGCTTCCTCTTGGATGCCTGCCCACCACATACAGTGATGCATTTGTAGCATTTCTAGCACGTATTAACCGTACGCGCCCGATGGCTCCGAGACCTCAAGGGCTGCCAAGAGCTTGTCCGGCTGCGCAAAGTGCGAAGGGTGCCAGGTGAAGTATTTCTTGCCTTTGGTGTTTCTGACAACACCAAACACATGCTCAGTGAACAGTCGCCACCAGTCCAGGTGCTGTCCGTATGCTCGATGTCCAACCAGAGAACGTCGTACGGGATGTCGTGCTGGTCGAACTTCCTACGCTCTAAAACCCCTCCCTGGGCCAGATCCCGAAAGCAACCACTCCACGATGGCTGGCAACCAACGCCCCAACGTCACTTCTTGCACCCCAGTCTGGCCCTTCAAAGCTTGGCGGCCACTCCTCTAGTTACGTACGAGCCTTTACAAAAGAGCCACAAAGTTAGAACGTCCTGTCTAAGGTTAGCTCTAAGGTCTACACTAAGCCAGAAGTCCTGGAGTCGAAATACATGTTCGACCAAACCTATCATAGCCCTCCATGCATCTCAATGCCATAGCTGTGCCTGGATACTACGTAGGAAGACCTTTTCGGAATCACCTCAGCACTTCGGTCGCTCCCTCTCCTGTTCACTCCAATGGAGTCTTCCACATCCACATAATTCCAGCGAGACCTCGAATAAAATCACAAACCAGAGAGCAATTTCAAGCTGGACCACCAACAGGAGAACACGCAACCTACGGAGCACTTGCATGAGCAAAGGCCACCACTGGTGCTTTCCGAGGGTTGAAATTGGAGGCATTCGGGGAAACCTTGGAAATGCATTCCTCGTCATTTCCTTCTGGCACTGGGTGTGATACCAAGATTGAGGTGCCAGCCCTGTCACCGTGTGATACCTCCAAAAACGCACCCACAACCACACCAGCGCGCGCGCGCAGTTTTCATGGCCTTTGCAGGACCTCCTGGGGCCCGGGGCCGGCAAAGAAGAACCTCAGCGCCCCGGGGCCCCTGAGCTCCCACCTTGCGGGCTTGGACTACATGGGCGATCTGGCACTGGGCGAAGGGCATGTCCATCACGCCAGACTCGAACAGCCACCAGGTCTCTGTTTGGGGAGATCCTTCGATGAAACGTGCATGTGCCAACTCTGCATTGCGTATATAAAGTGCATGCTATATTATACATCCTTGCTCTGCATTTCTACAGGAAACCACTTGAAACCACTCCTTTCGATGCATCCACATGCACGAAGCCTTCCGACCTGGACGCCCAGAAGTCGTGCTCGCATCACACAGCCAGAATGTTTTCCCACCCGCTTAGCTGACCAGGTCGCACTGCAAGAAGCAAGTCCTAGACATTGTGCACTGTGATACTGAGCTGCGCACGGATTGGGGAAAAAGAAGCCGGATGCAACGGTTTCACCCGACCTTTGTTTGCCACTCGCTTTCTGTCACTGCAGCTGCAAAGGCCTCCGAGGTGCGCCTACCTGACGCGAGAGAAAGAACGTGCAGAAGTCAGATCCTGAACACCTCCTTGCCGTGGGCCAGCTCGTGCCACTTGGACAACTCCACCAAAGGCATTCAAAGGCCTTTCGGCTTTGGGGAAGACAATAAACCTTCCCCGTGTTAATTACATCATACAGTTCAAAATTCTTAAGAACAAACGGCTTCAAGGGCCGTCAGCAGTGGGGAGACAGGCTTTGGACGGGATGCGCCAGAACCGAGCGCGTGAAGGCATATGAGCCACTGCCACCTAGGCATTTTCAGCTTCCGATGATCCTGGCTCTTGTGCCTCCATCCTCACGCACCAGCAGGTGTAGCTATTTTGCATAAGCTGTACGACACATCGTGGCATTCTTACATGAAGACCTCCGACGCTCCTCTGTCGTGGCTCATCACATGCTAGCAGCACAATTCATAACTCCTCTTGGTATGTCTTCGACGGCAAACCAGAGGCCCGGGCTTCTCGCGATGAATTGCCGTCACCAGCGGAATCTGGGCAGCAAAAATGCGGCAGTTGCTGCTGTCAGATGCCGAAGATTGACTGAATCTAGGGTTTGCCGTGGCAAACAGCAGTACGCAAAGCACTCACAGAACTGTAACAAGGACTTTCGGCACACGGATACCGAAGACCGGCGGCATGCCGACGAGAACAGGGCAACAGGGACTTGTGCCAGAACAGCTGATTGAATAGTTATCGTATTTTCCATGCACACCTGCCGCGACTCTCCCGAGAAGTTATAATCACGATATCGACTTCTGCGACAACCTCGCAGATGGTTTCGCAGGGTAATCGAAAGAGAAGGGTCTGAAGACTGCTTATTTGACTTCCCGTCTCGGGTCGCTGCAGCACCATACAAGGCCATGGGTACGTCCAGCGCCTGTGCCACACTACAGATTTCTGCACATCATGGCAGCCCTCCTTGACCAACTCATTGGAACTGAGTGTCGGGCGTACTCGAAGACATCCAGGTTGAAGAATCGATACGGTCTCAGTTAACCCCGTAAAGGTTACAAGATCCGCGCCACAGCTGCCCGACAACCTGGTTTTTGGGAGCGAGGCTCTGGTAAGCGGTTCTCACCCAGGCCCAAGCCTGTCGCAGCAGTATGAAACCAGAAATGGTTGGGTGGTGCAGCGCTGGAGCGTACCAACCGCATGTTCTGCAAGCCCGAAGACATCGACGGCGTCCTCAGATCTTGGCTGCGACGGTGGCTGCGAGGACAAGAAAGTGCGAGCATGTGTCGTGGCGGTGTATCTTTGGGCTCCAGGAACTATATCAACTATATCTTTGCACATGGCCTCGAAGGCCACATCCACACCCACTGCAGCTGGTCCCCGGGGTTTGCTGTCTGTGTGGCCACCAAAGCTTTCCTGGAAGCTCAGGCGCACCAGTCGCCACGGAAGAAAAAGGGAAGCAGAAGTCGCTCCGAGGGCCTCGAACAAGTTGTTCGGATCAAGGTCCGTCGCATCCACGAGTCCGGCATGCGCCTGCCTTGCATCCGCTTTGATCCAGAAGGAGGTCCATGGAATTCCATGGGTGGAAGGTGGCTGTGAATTCATGCCAGCAGTTCGCGCCCTTGGCTCTGTATCTTTCGAAGTTTAGGAACCGCCGAGAATTGAGCTTCTGGAGCACCTCACTGGGGAAGAGGCCAGCATCGTTGTGCCAATATGGTCTTCGAGACGCCGCATCCCGAGGCCAGCGCCCGACCATGTGCGACAAACTCAAGCTGAAAGGGGGAGTGCTGCAACTTCACCTGCAAAGCATGAAAGGATCACGAAACCGAGCATCTCTCTGCAACTGCCGTTCTACCAATTCTACCATCTACCGTCGAGGCCTTGCACGCACCACGGGTGCTGGCAATCTCCGTGAACCCGGCACCTTCGGTCACGGCGACCTGGTCGGGCAGACACCGAACATTCAATGCACATCGGCCTGTTGGGAAGCCGCCTGATCGGGCTGCAAGTCCTCGTCTTTTCGAACCACGTCCTGAGTGACTTCTGTTCTCATCAATGCAACGGGCCGTAGGCCGTAGGCGCTCACCCTGTGGGGTATGAGCCAAGCAGCCCCGGGTGTGAGCCGAAAGCGCGGGTGGAGAGGATCCTGTGCGTCGCACTTCCCTTCGGCCCTTCAGCTGTTCATTGATGCTCCGCGCCTTCTCCGTGACGAATGCTCGGACGATTCCGCAGCTGCCGTCCACGTCATTGAGGAAGAAGCTCAGCTCTAAGAGAAGGGGCTTCACCTCCCAGGGAGTTTTAGAGCTGTGAGCCGGAGCCTAGGCTCAGCTGCCCAACGTCTGAGAAATCTGCACTGGCGTCGTTGGCGAACAGCAGGCTGGCCTATGGCATGTTGTGCTTGCAAAGCTATGTCGTGCAGCCAGTAGCAACACAAAACAAGCATGTAGTTTCAGGTTGCAAAGCTGAGACCAGGAACCTGCACTTTGTTGCCGCTGGACTTGATGGTAGACGGGTCCAGCTTGTGAACCACAAGGCCTGGCAATGCGCTCTCTTCCCTGACATTCTCTCCTACTGGCGACCCACAGCCTGCATCGCCCTCCACCTGCAACAGAACTCCAGGGTGCACAGCGATCCGGATTGCAGTGATGTCTGTGCCAGGCCTTGTTGATGTACTTGCGATAGCGCCGTCCAAAGGATCCTTGCCTTTGTGCTGCCATCACGGCTCAAGCAATCGAAGACCAATGGGGGGTCCGAGCTCGAAGGTCCGGAATTTGGACCTGTCGACACAATCCACGGAGCCTGGTCGCGCATGAGCGTTCCAAGCTAGAGTGTGCAAGCACAGATACCGGGAGAATCAAGCCCTGCCGGGCCTGTGCTAATGTAGATGGCTATAAGGGCCCGCCACATGCACGCCATCAGAGCTAAGCATCAAAAGAAGGTCTGCAACACTTCTGAGACGCGCGTTGCGCTGACTTCTGAACTCATGGAAGGTCCCATACCAGAGCTTCAAAAAGCTTCAATGCCTGAAATGGCGACTTTAAGAGGTGCGCCCCGTCTAAGGAGACAAGTGCCATAGGCCATCACTCATGACTCATGTCCCTAAACGGACAGACTGACCGTCTACATCCGTCTACCGTACTTAGACAGCACGGCAGCATGACTACGCCGTAGGCACGGATATGATATGATATGATGTACCAACTTTTTGAACCAGAACCTAATGGCCTGGCGGCAAGCTGCAGAAATGGCTTGTGAAGCGCTTTCGTTTTCACTGCTGCATAGAAAGCAATTGCCCAGCTGTATTGATGTCGTGTTGATGTCCTTGATGCTCCTTTTCCGTCTCTGCATGGAAGCAGATCTGCAAGGTCGCAGGCTTCGCAAACCAAAGCCACGACCTGTGGATTTAAAGAGTTCCCCAAGAGTCCCCAAAGTTCACGCGGCTTTGCGAGGGGAAGCTGGTAGCGGGAGCACTGGCATGCCTTGGCAGCTTCAACGCTGCACGGGTGCGATAGGCATTGCGGCAAACAGCCTGGGCTGCATGACGCATCACCAACTTCAAGCTTGAAGCCCAACAGTCGTGCGACTTCTGCTGGCGCAAAATAGCGCAGCAGGCCGTAGAATTGCTGCATGGTGTAGGAGCCAGGTTCCGACTGGGATTCTGCCAATCTGCTGGCAGCAGACAAGACACTCCCTGTTCCGTCCACGTATCTTCCATAGGCTTTCGTAAAGCACAACGAATGACGACAGCCAGGGTGGACCACATCAAAGCAGCGGGCAGACTCCTTCTGCATTGTTCCCTCCGGCACTAACCATCTGGCATCGTCTGCATCAAGGAAAGCAGACACCGGCTGCAATTCATAGCAGCACCGACCAGTTGGTGCAGCAGGGGCAGGCTGCCCACAAGCAGAGCAAGTGTTTCGAAGGGTCTCCGATGGTATCAGATGGCCCTCGTGACCGGTTTCCGCGGCACTGCACGGTAGGTGCCTCCAAGGCCTCAGAGCTGCCGATGTCTGTGGCGTCGGTTTTTTCCACAGTTTCTCAGAAACTTCACTCCTGGGTTCTGGACTCTTCGAGTGATCCCTCGCCCGAGTCTGGCACGCAAACTGCATACAATTTGGAGAGCATTCACTCAGCAGACTGCGCCACTTGCCTGACGCAGTCGCCATGTCTGGAACACGTCTGAAGAGAAGGGGCCTTATGCAAAGAAAAACAGTATCGGACGAAGAGGAGCGGAATGGTATACCTCCACTACTCCCAAAGAAATTCAATTTGACCCGCCTGCGTTTGGCAACCTCAGCTGGCGACTGCAATCGTGGCGGACAGGGTGATGTAAGCAACACGCAGAGCTTCGTGTAGCATGTGGCTTATCGCAAGTCGCTGTCCAGACCTGCAGAAAACGTTTGGGTTTTGAAAGGCGGTGTATGCGGGTCGGGCTTCCCATTAAGTTGAGGCGGGCTAGCTTCGATGCAATAGCCCGAAAACCTGACATCGCAACCTTTATACATTTATATACAGCGTGGCTAGCTTCATGGTTGCTGAAGCAAGACTGTGCACTGACTTGCTGGCCATTGCCCACTATTCGCTCCTCCAGGAAGACTCGCAGAAACTGCGTCCCGGACCATGTAGAATCGCAGCCGTGCGTTGGGAAACCCGAATTGCTGCGGACCTCAGACTTTAATGTACAGGTACGAACCACCTTCACGGGTCCAAGGCCCAAGTTCTTCAGCAAAACTTTGAAGAGCCGTTTTGCCCGCAGCTCTCACACTCGCCGCCCAGGGGCCCACCCCGTCACTGTGCTTTTTTCTATGGGCCCAGCTCAGCAGAAAGCTGCGCCACCCAAAGCCACGCGTCCGAAGAGCCTCCAGGAATGCCCAAGCAGTCCGACTCACACGTTTCGGATACATCTGGAATCTGGGCACGTGGCATCACAGAGCTGCGAGTACGAGTCTGACTGCTCGAAGTTTCGCACATTCCTAGCTTGCATAGCTAGCCCATCCTTACAACTGTTGCTCTGTGCAGGCGTGTGGCTCTAGAACAATGGCCTCAGGCGGAGTGGTCACCTGCTCTGGAACCGGGCGGGCGGCGGGGAGAGCGCAACCCGTCTAGGAACAGGGGCGCCTCCCGCAGCACGGAAATGATGTGCAACAGCGGCTTCGCTCGAGGGTCCTGGGACTTTCGTGTCGTGGCATTCTTGCTGCAGCTTGTTGAAAGCACTCGTCACTATCAAGTCCTCCGCATCTCGGATCTTGCCTTGCCTATCCAGTCAAACCGCACTCCAAGCAAGGTTGTTATGCGTCACTGCCCATGTGCAGTCTGGCCTGGTATAAGGCTGGCACGGCCTGAAACAAAACTATACGCGTGCTTTCCGGTGGATTCGGCACATGTCACATATATTATATGGCCGGCTCAGATCCTAGCGGAGACATTGTCCAAATCCGACACTGCTGTTGGTCAAACCTTGGTCTCCAGGAGTTTGTCGAAGGTGGCAACATGCCAACGTCGCCAACCTGCTAGAGCCGAGATGCCACCTTGATGTAAGACCTCAGTTCATTCGAGATCCTCTGCCTTCAGTCCCGAACTTGCACCAGGCACTGGGCTGCAAATATCACGATTGACCACGTGGTCCGGACCTGAGCAGGCACCGCAGAGGCAAGAAAAGCTGGGAAGAGACCGTTTGCTGAATCATGGCTGGGCACCGAAGTTAAGGCCATAGACCGCCAGGGCCTTGATTCTTGCATGTTGCGATAAGCTGAATGAACCTCACAAGACGTGACACACTCCACAGTCTGCACACCTGCTGGTTGACTTCAACCGCCACAGAGTCAATCATGAAGCCAGCATACCTGGGTCCAGTTCTTGTCAGCTAGCAGCTATACTACACCTCAACCCCCCTTCAGCCACCGCACTGGCACTGAGCACATGTACTTTCTTGCGCGGTGGCAGTCCATGTCTCGTATAAAGGATGTCCCAGGCCAAATGCGCACACGAGTCCTCCAGAGAAGCTTCAATCCATCAGCAAGACGACCAAGGGCCGACCCAAAGGCCCCACAATTGACCTTCATGGCCGAATGAACCTCGCAGTTGGTCTTCAACTGCCAAGCCAGTTCGGTGAAACAGACTCCACTTCTACGCATTCTACGCAGGTACAGAATGGAAAGGAGGCTGGCTCAGTTCTCGAAGATCCAGTCAGTCATCAGTCGATGGGCCTTATAACTCGTCTGCTGCTCCTTCTTACAGCGAAAAAAGAAACTTCCAAGTTCGAGCTGCAGCTTTTTCGACGCTGCCCACTTGCAGAACTCGTCAAAGAGCACCTTGCCGCCCCCATTCTCGTCCTCAGACCAGGAACCCACGCCAGCAAATCCCCAGCCCGCGCACACACACACACAGAGATAGAGGCCAGACGAGAAGTGCTGCTGGGGCACCATGAAATTGAACCTTGCAGGACCAGCCGGTGTGGGAAGTCCGCTCCGAGTTTAGCATTAGCTACGGCTACGGCAGGACGTAACTCAGTATTTATCTGAAACATCAATCCGAAGCTTTTGACCCCGTTCTGGGGGTTGAGCTGACACTCGCACTCTTGGCGCTGCTCCTATTCCAAAGTCACAAGCCGCAAGAGCAGAGCTTCTATCTTCCTCACACTCACCCAACCGGCTTCTCTTCGGGCTGAGAGGCTCATCGAAAGCTTCAGCAGGCGTCAGCTTCAGACCGAGAACTGAACAACCTCCACGGAACTCGTTCAAGTCCTGCAAAGGCGTTTGCTGAAACTCGCAGGCAAGTGAGAAGACAGAGTTTCCTACCCTTACCAGAATTCACGGCGAGCGGCCATGCGTCGGTCATCATCGACGTCCACCACCCTCGCAGCGTCGCAGTACGCATCGACAGGGCCAGAGCAAGTGCGAGGTGAGGCTCACTGAGCCTCGCGTCGCCTAGACTCCTGGACTGGCTAAATGCGTCCCAAGCATCTCGTACAACGAGTACAGCTTGTTAAAGTAGAACCTCGGTTCCGAGATGGGCAGCCTACGAGCATGCTAATCAAGAAGCACTTCGCTTCTAGCTCTGAGGCATGCCACATGTTTCGGAGAAGGGCCCTGAACTCCGACCTTACAGGCATGGCGCGGAACACTGCGTACGAGTCTCAACAAAGCCGTTCACGGCACTCGTGCGCATGTGCCGACGAGGTGCTTGTGCACATAACCATCCGGGTTGCGCACTGTCGCTTTGTAAGCTCTCCTGGATAGTTGAAGTTTGGGCAGACACGTCCTGCTTGGTACGCTGTGCCCTCTTGCCCCCAGAATACGTGCCCAGCAGCATCAAGGCTGGCTTGTTGTTCGCTTCCGGAAAGCAGTCCTCAGAGCGCAAGGCTCCGCTTTCCCTGGCTTGGAAACTCACCCGCTTCCCTAGCTTCACTGGCAAGGCCATAAGATGGAAAAGATCCCCGTGCCCAGGGTTTGTGTCGCGGATCCGTGACGCAGCCATCCATTTCCGCAAGGCTGACAAGGCCATTTCCGTTATAGTCCTCAGCCACGCGAGCAGGGCGTAGGCAACACTGAAGATTAAAGACACACACACACACAGACACACACACACACACAACCAACACACACACACACACACGCAGAGACCCACACACACACACACACACACACGCAAACACAAGTTTGGCAAGCGAGAAGGTTCAAACAGACTCGCCAAAAGCCATCTCTTGTCTGCATGCCGGCGGCCATCTTGCGCCAAAGCTGATGGAGTTGCCGCTTGTCCTGTGAATGGAGCATAAAAGTGGTTGGTCTGCTATTAAACGCGAAATGACTGGACACAAACTGCAGTGAAAATGAGCACGCAAACTCTAACAAACCGTGCCAAGAAGCCTTCAACAGTCCGTGGAGCTTCTTTTCTGCCACTTCAAATTGGTTCCTTGTTGGACTTGCAGCTGCTGCAGAGCGGAAAAAAGGAACACCGAACTGAACGCGACAAATGACTGCAAACCCCACACCGGTCACGACAACTGCAGAGAAGTTTCACAATCTGCGTCTTGGCGGAGTGGCTGTGGTGCACAGCGACCTGGCGACTCAATTCCTAGATTCGCAGATCCATCGCAGACTCCATTCGACGGCCTTCGAGTGATGCTTATGGGATGGCGAGTGCAGGGATGGAGCTGGAGCCGTATAGACCGATGAGTCCACGGGACACTGCACCTTGGATGGGTGCATCGGCAATATCCCTTCCCTGTCTTTACCAAGCCCTCCTGAAAGGGGCCAGGCAGAAGCAACCCATCGGCAGAATTCGTCAAAAAGAATCAAGCCACAACGGTTCCTGACAGAGGGCAGCCACGGCTAACTGGTGCTACAGAAGCTTTATTGCGGCTCTCTCACCCGACACCGGGCGCCAGTCCTGTCGAGGCTGTCGAACAGGGACTTCGGGTTCACCACCTGCCGAAGCGGAGCCATGGGCCAGGGACTGAGCTGGGGGATCTCTCAGCTCCCGGCTGAGCTCATGCCAAGGAGTGAGAGACCATTCCGGAACTCAGACATGGTCAGTCGCCGATCTCTGTCTGCATCGATCCCGTCGAAGACCTTCCAAAGAATGAGAAGGGCTCAGAACGAAGGGGAACTCTTTTTTGTCCATCAGCTACCATGTGCATGACTGCGTGTGGCCCATCCGAATTCCAGCCACAGGTTGCTTCTGAGGGCCCTGCGCTCCAGACTTTGTTGAAGTAGATCAAGTCCCTGCGGCAGGCTACCGCTGGTGAAGCACCACAATGCTTGAACCCAAGCTGCCAAAGCTGAAGCCTCAGCAGGACGGCAAACTCTCGCTTGTTCACCCAGCTGTCCTTCCGGGACCAGGCTCTGGCAACGTGGCGCCTACTCCTCGCGCTGAGGGCCTGGTTCAGGTCGCAGGCTTTGTACGCGCGCATGAGGGCCTTGTTTGGCAGGGCATGTCATCTTTGAGTCTTTGAGAGCTCGAGGAGATGCAAGCAGGCCACTGGCTTGTTGTTCAGCTGTGGGTAGGTGTCCACCACCCAACGGTCAATCTCAGCCAAGCTGACGACGTTGTTGCCGTTGTAGTCAATGGCATCCCAAGCTTTCCAAAGCGCCGACTTGCCCGCTTCCGATCCATTCACCCAGAACTTGAACTTCGCTTCCAAGTCGTCAAAGTGTCCGTGGGTGTTGATGCTTGGGCTTGGGCCGCCGGTTTTAGCCGGAAACCTCGGGCTCATCTGCTGCATGCCTGCATTTGCCAGGCCGCGGGACGGAAACATCGTGTTGCCACCACCTGTCACAGCCTCAGAAGCAATTATTCCAGTCTCGACAGTGACATGCACGTGGAGGCACTCACGGGGCCAAGAAGCTCCCTTGTTGGGGGATTCTGCAAGCGAGTATCCACCCACAGGCATGGCTTCTAATCTCTCACGCTGCACCCAGGCTTTGTGAGCGGAGCCGCTGGCGACAGCGTGTCAGCAGATGTACTACCGAATGCAACAAGGCCCACAGACTCTACACACCTTCTAAAGTGAAACAGAGCATGGAAGATCTGAAGGCGCACGAGAGGGCAAGGCGCATGCCACCAATTCCAGCAAAGAGCTCAAGCACACGCACCTCCCCCATGTCGATCATTCCCATCGCCACATCAGCAGCTACAACTTACAAGACAAGGGCTCACTGAGCTGCAGACGGGCTCTGTTCCCGCATCCTGTCCGCGGTCTGGGTTCGACTCCAGCTCCATGGCGCTGGGAAACGCTTCCGGGCGCACAGAGCTGGAACTCTCGTGCTGCTGGTGCTCTGTATTGCGGGGACAAAGAACTTTCGTAGCAGCCGTGGAATCTGCTGGCAGGGGCTCTGCTGGCAGTTGCACCAGGCCACAACGGCGAAAGCTTGCAGCAGTGCAGCATGTTGCCGTTCATGCTCTTGCTGAGGCGAGCCTTTCGCACGGACCCTTCATGGTCATGCACGGAGGAGGCTCTGACAAGCTTCGGTCAGGCCCCTTTCACCATTAGCTGCTACTCCTGCTCCCGCTCTGCTTCACAGAGCTTGCTGTCCTGCCTGTTAGGCAGGTTGGAGGGGGTACCTAGAATCATGTCTCCAGCATTCTCCAGCATTGAAATCATATTTGTGCAATCCACTTCCTGTTCGAACGCTTCATGCCCCTCGCTCAAAGCTCTACGCGGGCAGAAATCTCAGTGAAAGAGCCACGCCACAAACTCCTGGTAGTCCTCAGATGCTGTGGCAGAAGGACAGCTCTCGGCTTTCTTCAACTACTTCTCGGGGCAAGCTTTTGTGAAGGCCATGCAGCAATCAAGCCGTCGCCGTTGCAGTCAGCTTTCTCGAAGAGGGTTCGCACATCCTCTTTCACGGAGCACGAAGCAGTCGCAGAGACAGCTGACAGATGCAAAGCTCCGCCTTGTCTCTGATTTTGGGGTCCACTTTTCCTTGGATTGCCAAGGAGCATACATGGAGCGAATGCTTGTGGGATCTAACCTGGACTGGTCGCGGAGAACTGTAAGAAGCTCTCGTTCGGATATCTTGCCATCCTCGGCGTCTTGCAGTTTGGCTATAAACAGATGAGACGGAATAGCTGAGTGCAGTGTCCAGCGCTCTTTCAGTATACAAAGCTCAGTAAGGAAAACACCAGCAGAAAGCCTTGAACTGGGAAGTCACAGCATGGCATGCTTACAGCCTCTCCAGCACAACCCATTGAAGCCCTCTTCACTGCAACGGCTATAGACCCTTTCAAACCAAAGAAGTCCCATGAGGGACATATTATTTGTCTCCATTACGGCATTACGACAAGCCAGTCGCCTACATTTGCCGTAGTTCGTTTGCGCATGGTCTCAACCGCTGCTGTTGTCTCGCATGTCTCACGGCTATAGAACCTGTGCTTGCAGAAAAGCCCGTCGCAGAATCTCTGCGACAGCAAGCACAGCTTGCATTTACTTCGCGCGGTCGGTGCGGGGATGCATGACAAGTCTTACGAGACTTACCTGAATGGATGAAAGAAGCGACGACCCATGAACGCTCCAAAGCCCTCTCCTACATTGATTGATCTTTGCCCAAGCTGCGCAGTTCACGTCCCACTTTGCAAAAGTGTTCCTCAGGCAAGACTGAAGGAGAGCCTCAAACTTGGCCACAAGCTTTGCATC